CCCCAAAACCCCAAAACCCCAAAACCCCAAAACCCCGATATTGGGCTTAAAAAATGAAACATAAAGATTTCTAATTAAGTTTTAATAATAAATAGAATTAAAGATGACTTCTCCAACGTGATTTGTGATGGACGTTGACGGTGTTAATTGGCAGTCTATGGTAAGTAAAGAGATATGAAAAGTTTGGTGATTCACAAGATTTCAAGAGCCTTCTTAGCCTCTTTCTAATGAAAGTTTATCATAATAAGGCACGAAGGCTTGAGATAACCATAAATTAGGACTGTGCTGTATTAAGGATTTCATAATTAACCAATGAAAGCTCCATGTCAAGATAAATATTCAAAATTTGCACAGCCGATTTGGCATTCTAAATTTTAGGGTTTGAGGCATAACCTACTAACCTTTCGTTCACCTATTTCAGAATGCTTTTCTTCACTGACCAACATTTCTAGAAATTAGCTTATAATTCTCCAGATTTGTGCTTCAGTTTAGAGTTTAGAGTTTAAAATTTGTCAACTATTTTGTCAAATTAAGCTACTCTTGAAATTTTTAAGCTTCTGAATCAACTTTCCCAAATGGCTAGTTGACACTAGTCAGGAGACCTCTAGATTTAGGGCCAAGATACTGCTCATAAACAGATATCATTAGGGTTCAAAATAAGTATAAATTCTTTTTTTCTTCACCTAATTTATCTAATCATTTTTTTATGTGAATTCATTTAATAAATTGTCATTTTAAAGGATAGGTTTAGAATAAACCACCACAAGGCCTCTTCAGCTATTTTAAGATCATATCTGTGATCCCCTATGAGGGGATGGTATTATAACACTTGGAGAATAATTTCCCGCCTTTGTTAGCAATTAATCATTTGAGTGTTATTATTCGTGAATCCTCCTAACATTCTTATCCTGGTTTGAGATTTTTTGTATCTGATAAAATTTATTTACTCAAGATTCGTTATTTCCTCTCAGTATACTTAAGCACTATCCTGCTGAATGTATATAGTTTTAACAAGATTATTTTGCTGAGGGCTAAGAAAGCTTTCTTGTATAGAATTTATCAGTAAATTCTTAAGCTTTTTTCTTACTTTGATTATAGGTTAGCCAAATTCATCAAGCAAATAATCAGCCCCTAGATTCGCAATCTAGCAAATATGATCAAGAAGCATCCACTGATGAAGGAGTTGCTATCAACAGCTTCATGAAAAATATCATAAAAGGTCTCCAAGGTAAGTCCCTGCTCATGTAGACATATCTAATTGTTTTGATGTAGGCACAATTGAATATGTACTGTTTTACTCTCAATTTGAGACAAGACACTCTCAAAAGATTTCAAAGGAAATCAGAAAGTGTTTATGAGAAGAAGAGAAATTCTCTGATAAATAAAACATCAACAAGTGGGAATTTAAGCACACGCCAAGGAGAAGCAAGAAGTCCTGTTGAACAGAGGGTCAAGATTATCTTTGGAATGCAGCATTTGTTCTTCGAACTTGGACGCCTCTTCGAGAACTCTTATAATACTGTAGTTTACTCTAACAATTGCCACTTCTTTCATAGGGACTATATTCAAAGCATTACAGAAGAATCTAAGAAAATTGGTAGACAGTTGATTTCTCAAAGAAAGATTTCCTGCCTATTAAGCGATCTCAAGAATCGTGAATTGGAATTGACTCTGGAAAGCGACAAAGATCAGACATACTCGAAGGTGCATAAAGAGAATATTGAAGACACTAAAGAAAAGGATATGCAATCCTTGAGCATTAAGCCTGAAGTAAACCAAACTATTAGTAAAGAGTTTTCTACCAATCCAGTGTTTAATGATAATTCTAGTGATGCTTCTAAATCAACTAAAGCTACCACCATTGACAGTGTTACCTCAAAGAATATTAAAAGTAATATGATGAGAAAAGATTCTGATGAAAACTCTTCTCACTCTGGATACTCTGTCACTTCCTATTCATCTTACTCGTCTGAAAGAGCTTTGGATATGAAGAAAATGGATCAAGCTCTTAAAATTGACCGTGCATTCAAAAGTTCTTTGATAGAACTTCTTGAGAAGCTTCCCAAATACTTTAATAAAGCATCTGAGAATGAATGTTTGAAATATATTAATGCTCTTGAGAATTTAGTAAGCCAACACTTGAACAAAGCAGAGAGAAGCAAGAAGAGCAAGATGACTGAAGCAGAAAAAGAACAATACTTTCTCTATGTTAGAGACTATCTGGTGAAACACCAAGTTACAAGTGGGGTTATCCTTGATATGTGGTACAAAAATGAATATGGAAACTCCAAAGAGAAAATGGTCCAAAGCAATAGTGTCAAGTTTGATTTTGGGCAGCTGGAACTCTTGATACAAAGCCTCAAGGCTTCTAAAGAGAAATTTACACTGAAAGGCTATAAACTCAAGGGTCATATCAATGTCTATGGGTGAATTTGATATACAATCATTAAGAAAATGCTACAGAATGATTTGAACAAATCTGAAAAACCAGTGACAACAAATAGAAAGCTGTGTGACAACATTCATCACACGATTAAGAACTACTACAATAGTAAGAGTATAAGTCAAGATCAAAAGGCTCTACTCAAAATAGACAGAAAGATTAAATACATAATTTCCGAGATCTTCAGATACAAAGGAATATGGAAACAAGAGGATAAAAAGTTTGTCATCAATGCCTCTATGATAGAGAATCAGCTAATTGAGTTCACTAAGTATGAGTCATCTAAAATTGTGAATGACTTGATCAAAGATATTAACAAGGCGATTACAGAATAATGACATTGGGTGTTTCAAACCACAGCTTAGGAGTTTTCATAAGTTGCTGTTTTTAAACAAGACGCATTTCCCTATGCTCCTTTTGGAGTATCACTAAAGTGCAGTCTCGCCCCCAAGTCATGTGATCAGAATTTTGCATTCAGATGCTAACTTTCCATAAGTTAAATTGAAAGTCTTGGTGAGCTTATTTTAAAAATTTCTCTGAGCTTTGAACTTTCAGGATTAATATTGGCTTTCTATATTTAACTTAGAGCTGGGGTTTTGGGGTTTTGGGGTTTTGGGGTTTTGGGGTTTTGGGG